TTCAACAGGATATTCACAGGTCTAAAAATCATTTCATGGAATCGAACGTTCAGAAAATTATTATTTTAGCACGTGTAATGGTAAGATAAATGAGGTTCTTGTAGTATTTTTAGAAGTCTTTCTTGATGTGTTTCAATACATTGCAGATGTTCTAAAGTTCTATTTTTAGGGACATTAAGCTGTTGCAAATAATGCACGATATGAAAGAAGTAATAACCGTTAGTCCATAAATATTTAATGGCCGCTTTTAATAAGCACATTTGTAAGTCGAAATATCGCGGTGGGTAGGCAGGTAAACATCTGAAGATGATTGTTTTTTCTAAATTGTACGTAAACAGTTGAATCATTTTAATGTTCGACTATTGTTACGTCCATGTCTTTTGAGATAAGTGGGAATATCGTTGAGCTACACCTCACAACGTATTCATAGAGAAATATAAAATAATGCAACTTGTAAAGATGTAAGAATAAATTTGAAAACAGTAGTGTTACCAATATCGAAAACTGACAGAAAAGTCACTAAGGAAGCAGAGTGCGGGGAAAGCTTGGAGATTAAAAAAAAATGAGTGAGAATTTTGATAACATAATTCGAAAAGCGTTCAAGGTTTTATGACGTCAGTAGTGCGTCTTCTATTTCCTTTAATTGAATTACATCACTTTCGTTTTTGGAGGTTAGGAAAAATTTAACTTTTAGGTATAACATTCCCACTACTTACTAATGCTGGTGGACGGGCAGTACTCCAAGAAAGCCACTGGGGTTAGGTTGGAGTTGGAATCATTTGATCATTACACTTTTGAAATAGTTGAGCAATCTTTAGATCCTTGCCTTCATCTTCGTATAACCTAAATTCACTTGTCGTTTTAATCGTAGTTTAACAAGTTCTAACTTTGAAGCTTTTATTTAAATTATTATTATATTATGCGTCGAATGTTGAATCCATAATTGAAAAGTTATAATTTCTTTATATATACATATACCATTTAAAATGTTGGCAAGTAAAATCATTCGTCAAAGAGATCGTTCTAATTAAGTAGGAATCCAAGCAATTAGACCTTCATTAGCACCACGTTTGTTACCACATTGTCAACGGTTTCCGCAAAGTTCCTCCTCCGGGAAACTAAACGAAAATAAATAATCAACTGTTCCCCCCTTGTAGTCCATGAGAATTGTTGGGAATGTTCTCCAAGTGTTTGAGCTGTAATTAAGCGATGCAGATGTCTGACAGGCTTTTCGTTACCATTTACGTTAGACTCGCCGAAGTTGCAACTAATAATATTCCTAACGACCCTTTTTACGACATCTTTTCTCTTTGCGTTAACAATGCTATTCTCAAAACTACAGGCAGAACCTCTCCTCAGAATTCGAGTACCATTTTGTGCAATATAAATGCTACTTTGATATACTCAGTTATTATCTGTTTCAAAAATCTGAGATAATTATCATTTTTTCGTAGCTGTTACATCTTCTCTCTAAAATTTTGATAGGCAATTTCCCCAAAAGGGACAAAACCAGTTCTTGAAACGGAACATCAGTCAGCAGCAGGCACTAGTGTACAAACGTTAGGTTTCGACTGCATATTCTAATTACACTGTATGTGTCCATCTTTTCAAATCGGTTCTTGAATAGAATTGCTTCCAAGAAAGTGACACCAAGATCTTCTAGGAGTTCTGGCTCGATAGGAACCCGTAGCAAAAATTTCCTTTCAATTTCCATTAAAAAATGCCATTCAATTACCACTGATAATAATTAATGGTAATAAATGGAGAATTGCCAATGGGATTTCCATTGCTGAACGCAATGGATATTTCAATGCGTTAAGCAATGGAAATCCCATTGCGTTCCATTGTAACTTCATCAGCATGCCTTTTTCCATAATCCATATTATTTTGTTGAGAATTTGGTTCCTCAGGTACCTGAACCAAGGCACGTGCCTGGATGTCTGGCTCTTCATCATTGTGTTTAGATTTTTTTTCACTTGCTTCTGATAAAACTACATCACTCTCACAGATGACTTCGGCCTCCTCTATATTTTGGCATGGTTCAAAATCATCAAANGTACCTAAATAACTTGTTGAATGTACACCTACCTATATTGGAACTAATATTTTCGGGCATTACGTAGATAGAGTATCTTCTGACGCTAATCATTTATTTTGATATAAACATCAAGATATTCTTTGGAATATTTAATACGTATGAGAAGCATCTTTCTTCACTACATTGGTCTACCAATGCTCATGAAGCAAGATCCCCATTGTCATTATTCTCTCCATTATCATATGAGTCAAGAGATATTCAATGTAGTGCAGGTGCATAACATTAATTTATTTTACAATAACAATAACAAGTTGGATTAATGAGAAATGCCATTATGTAATAAGTAATTAAAACTGAATTGCTCTTGACGTTTTGACGAAATGATAAATTTTCTGCAAAGAACACCCCAACAGTGAAAAGATTAGAGATAATATCAAATAATGTAGACAACAAATATCTTAAATTTCTATTGGGAGTTCTGGAGTCCTCGAATAATATGACCAAATGTGGAATTGGCATGAAAGAGTGAAATCGGCATCATTTTCGTATTAATGGGGTTGGTTGAGATCATAAACCAAATGAATATTAATATCTACGGCGACTTGAAGTGATAAATAAAGATTTGAAGTTGTCGTGACGATATCCCGTTTAAATTTAGTTTGAATATTTTACGCCGTTTAGGTACCTACACAAAACAGAAGGGGAAGGTTTATCTAGAAGTTAATTAAATTTCCTTATGGCTAGTGCTTTATTCAGTGACGTAATCAACCACAAAATGTAATGTTTTTACGATTTTCTCACAACTGAAAAACAAGAGAAACGTTTATCTAATCGCAAACCCATTTGTAAAAAACTGTTACCCAACATCATCAACATAATGCTACTTCTCTTTGGATCGTAGTAAATAACCTTCGAATGAAGCATGAATTCTTTATGAAAAATTGCTCACTGGAGAAGAACGTAGATAACTATAAGGAGTCATGAATAACTTCACGGAAACAAACACTTTCAACAGAACAATCGATATCTTGAATAATCAAATACACTGAGCTGATATTACTGTTGGATGGAGCTGTAGTTCCATGGTTTCAATACTTCAATTAGAATTTAGCATTTAAACTAGATTATCTGAATTGAGTTCCACTTTACTGAACAACTACTGGCGTTGCCCTGCATAACTTTATCTCATATTTTGTTTCCAGCAGCTTACCTCGTTTTGTAAAGCTCTACCTGCACCCTGTTCGTCAGGGGGTCATTCACTGCACCACACTGGCAACCAATTGCTACACTTCTCACAATTATCTGGCCACTTTTCATTCATTATAACTAAATTGGCACATCTTTAAATAATTTATAATAGAACACTACAACGTCTATTCTACCAGCCGACTAGACTACAACAATCACCAACAACTACCAATAAAAACAGAAAAACAGTTAGCAAGAGACGATACGAAATGCGCAGGACCATAACGACGATCGAATGTACGAAGCTTCCATTTCTTTCTTCAGCTATGCTCAAAGTATACCGTTCTTTGTCTGGATGCAGGTTTATTTTCAAAATGGGTCAAAAATTTGGAACGTTGCTGCAGTACTTTTAAAAATGGTCATAACTGGTTTAACTGGATACTAAACCAGCATTATAACTTTTTAGAACCAATATAACTGAGATCGCTCCAAATCCACCAAATCTTTAAATTGACATTGAACATTTGGGATGTACACTTCTAACTTTTAAATCATTGACAAAGTGATTTACATACCTTTCTCATAAACAACCCCGTATAACTAAACTTATCGAATTCTGTTATCAAACTTTTGAACAGTGACAGAACGTTGGAAAACAATTTCAATATTTTCAAAGGATACTTGGATTGTATTGCTCTTATAATATATTTATGGATATTGTTTTTTTCCCTGCAACAATTTCAAACTGCTAAAAGACGCGTTTGCCTGTTAGTTAGACGATCTCAATGGAAACCTGCGCAAACAGCTGCATAACTGTGTTCACGTCCAGCCATCCAATGAACCGCTTTCATATGCTTGCGCTCATTGAATGAAAATTTCAAAAGGCATATTCTTTTTCAAAGAAATTTAGCTTCATCACTTGTTGCTTTTAATTCAATTTATTATACGGTGCTTCGTTGAAGGATTTTGTCAGTAAGTGGCAGGGATTTTGATAATTCCTCATTCTCAATTCCATAGAGGAGACGTTTGGATCTGCAATAGTTGCGAAAATGGACAGAAGCATGAGCATCTCATGGGTCAAGGATGGATTAGATCTCTATAGACTTCAAGTTCCATATAATCCAAGACACTTTAAGTTCCATAAAAATGACAAGTAGTAATATAAACTCAAATAACTCAAAACGCTGCAAGACTAAGGTATGGCTCAAACCGCATGTCAGTTATCTCCTCCGGTGTGTATCCTCATTCAGAGCAGTCGTAACTATATCTCTGTTGATTATATAGATAGCAAGTTGTTATCTTGGTGGACCGAATTATCCGCTGAGAAGAAAGATGTCTTTATTCCAAAAGTGGGCAATAGTGGTGGTTGCAGGATTGAGCCATTACTCCGTAAGTTTATGAATGCTTTGGAACTATTTTGGTTGCCTATATCCAGCGCATAACAGTGGGCAATTTAAATTTGAACCCATTTATATCTTCTAATTTAATGTTACTTTGAAAAGAAGCTCGAGTATCACTAGATCCGTTATAAACAGAGTTCAGGAAAGTAGAGTTCTATTACAATCTTTGGATGTGGACATTGAAAAATTCGTTTATGGAAGTTCACGGATGGACTTGAGCCTATTCAGAGAGCTTACTTGTCCCCTCGCGGTCTGGCGTTTTTTCTACGACAGGTCAAGCGCGTCTTCCCCTCTCGTCAACCTGAGGATTGAGAACCATGATGCATGCATGATGCTCTTGGCATTCCGCACCAGGTGTTCGTTTGTTGTGAATACGAACGAACAAAGACGAAAATTACCCCGGTTTAATGTAGTGAGGTTATTTTTGGCGCCCTACGACCGGATTGGTGTTGTGACCGAAAGGTGGTCAAGGATATGAATAGTCAGGCAGTGACGGGAACAGTTTGCAAAGACGTTTTGTCGTAGGTTAGAACGAAAATGTTCATGAAGCCGACGGACGTTTTCTTCTCGTGGTCGGTCAGACGAACGGGATGGGCATTCCAAGAACTTTAATAAACGAAAGCTTCGACGATTATTGTACGACGGCAACCGCGGGTGAACTCGGACGAGTCGGACCTGCGTACTAAATTCTTAGCAGATTTTTTTTAAACTACCATAAGAGTAATAACACCAATAGTAGCGTGCTTTGTAGTACCAAAAAAAAAACTATTCCGCTCAGAGATCAGTTAAAATGTGGAACTGTTTGGAACGGAAGCTTTTTTTGGACACAATGTCGGAGTGGGTTTTTGTTCCTGTTTGTGTGGTTTTTGATGTGTTTGGTTCGTGCGTTCCCTAGTGTCCATTTGTTAATTGTTTGGTTTGTGTTACACAGTTTTGGAATGCAACAAAGTGTTTAGAGTAGAAATTGTTGGTGAACATTGCGGCTAATATTTCTTCGAACTATTTAAACACTAGGTAAGTATCTTATGCGAAATATCAAACCCTTGCAAGTGCATTTCATTACAAAATAATAAATGTTGAATGCTTATAGATGCATGGAGGTCAGGGACAGAAATTAAATTACTTTAGTAATGTCCAGTACCTTCATGTATACTTAGTTGATGTACCTACCTGCTGAAGTTATATTGGATGTTTCCAAAAATCCCTGCAGGAAGTTCGATGGGGTGAAGAAATACAAAACAATGCATTTAAAATTTTATTATTTTAACCAATCCCAATCTTTACGACTATCCCACTATCCATATACTAATGACAGAAATGTTTCACGCAGAACGGTTATGGCAATCGGCAAGAATACAAAACGAACTTAAGGTTTCTTTAACCTACGCAGCACAATGCCTTCCGTGACAACAAATAATACTAAAACTGCCTAAGGATGTGGTCGTTGTATCCGCTAACCAGCTTTCTAGATGAAAATAACCCTTTTTTTGGTGCCATTCATTAATGGAAAGTTTCTTCAGTCTTTTTTAGGAATTAAGCAGTAACACAGTCAACTAATCTGAATTTTTCATTGCAAAACAAAACAGTATAATTGGTAGTGAATAAAAATGCATATTTTGTTCCATTACAAGGCTTTATAAGATAAAGCGTTAGTGTATTTATGAAAAGAAGTACTATATTGTTCATAAGATAATAAGCTACTGTATTTGCCAGGGAATATATTAGCAGTGAAACGATCGATGATTTTTGTTTTTTTTTACGTTTATTTGGGATTCTGATACACAAGATGAATATAATGTTGTTCGACGGATACTGCAGGTGGAAGAGAAACAAGCCTGAATCAAGGCTGGCAATGCAAAATGCAACGGAAAATGTAGTATGACATTGCTACATTGGCCAGCCTGACAAGATATTCATCGGAGCTATCAGTTGTACATCGTTTCTCACGGTTCAGAGCAAATTGAGCATGAACGATGCTGATTTAAAAAGAAAAGGCATATCAAAGTCTCCGAAGCGCGCTGACTGTTTTTTTGTCCTCAATAATATCCTTCAATAATATTTACAAGCAAAGTAAATAGTAGTATATTTCATCCTCGGCTTCGCAAGAAGAATATTATGAATTGAAGAAATCCTTTTTTGTACCGCGATTAACTATTCGGGAGGAAACGGTTTACTTCTTTGGCTGAATGAAACATACTTGCCTTAAAGGCTTTTACAGGTCGCCTGTAAATATGTCAAATAAAAATAAAAAGAAGGACATTTACCGAAACTTCTTCTATTCCCTAAAGAAATCTTCCTGGTAATGATTAAATATGTGCAAAAGTACTATTTACTTTTCATCATCGGCTTCGAAAGAAGAAAATTATTAATTGAAGAAATCATTCCTTTGTGCCGCGATTAACTATTTTAGGGGAAACGGTTCACTTCCTTGGCTAAATGAAACTTATTTAGCTTAGAGGCCGTTACAGGTCGTCTGTTAATATGTCAAATAAAAATAAAAAAAAGGACGTTTACTGAAACCATTACTTCCAGCAGTAGTTTTAGTTCAAGTTTTTTAGCTACAAGTGAAAACCAAATGAGCTTCCTCTATTCCTTGAAGAAATCTTCCTGGTAATGATTAAATACGTGCAAAAAAACCCTACATTGCTAAAAATACGATTTCTCTGAATCACAACAAAGCTTGCTCACGAAGAAAAACGACAGTATATCAAAAGGACTGGACGTGTTAGGCAAATATTGTGGCAAATACGCGAAAACCAACGAAATGTTGTTTTATGTAACACATGGAGAAGATCACTTTACGTTCTAGCAGTGGTCTTTCTTTATTAATTCTTAGTGTTTACGTCGAGGTTTCGGTTTATGTGCACAGTCATGCAAGCACGTGTTGCTGTACGTAATTATTGACTTCAAAGGAAAATATGTACGTACACGGTTTATCAGATAATTAAAGTGAGTCGACTGAACAATGTCTTTTTGTTAGTCGATAAATAACTACACCATTAGTTATTTCTTGTATATAATACAAATGTCGGGGTAAATGTGTGAAAAAACGAAAGCAAAAACTACTAATGTTGCTGAATTTCGGTCAATACACTCATTTGATTGAGCGTTCTGTTGAGTAGCTTTTTTATCAATTGTTCTACCTGAAACTAGTCGTATTGATAACAGTTGAACGTGGATGAAGCATTATCAACATTCCAAACTTGGTAACGAGTAGAAATCATTCTTCACTGTTCTAGAAACGGACCTATTATTTATGAGAATGGATGTTGTTGGTTGAGAGTACAAGCCGAGGGCTCAGTGTGACTGCAACATCCAACGCCTACTGCGAGTAATAATACAACCAAAGTGACCATAACATTTAAATACGAACAATATTTTAACGAGCAACTTGGCCTTTCTTTAGTTCGAATAGCACATCAGAAATACAAGGTTGTGCAGAATTCATTTGTTTTATTACATTTCCTGGCCTAGAAGAAACCGCTGACAATATAGCACCGCTGTTATGTTTTAAAGGTTCTTCTTGAAGTAATCGTAAAGCATTGTGGTGCACATCTTTTTGTAATTATTCAGTAAAAATTAAAATTATGGACGAATTAGGACTGCATGTAAAAGGGAAGAGGGAAGAAAGAAAATACGTATGAGGCGTGAGTTAAGACGAAAGATTGAGGTTAGGTCCTACATTTGGAGAATATTCTGTTAAATTCAAGATCTGTTTACGAACGAAATATTTGCAATTGGGTAGTGCAAATACATCAACTTCATTGTCATGAAAAGGAACATAACACACATTTTACCTTTAACTTGCATTTTACATGCAATAACTGTATTATTTTCATTTGTATCCAATTAACCAACAGTTACTTTTTGTATATCTTAATTCTGGCGTCGTACCAGTTTCGATATCGCTCTTTTGGGTACTAATTGGTGAAATATTTGAAATTTTAATAGTTTCCTACGTACCCATTTACTTGAGTAACTTTTTTACCTATATTTACCTACCTGGTACCTATCATGTACTAGAGGATATTTTTAACTAGAAGCAATGTTGCTATAAGCTATAAGTAAAATCAATAACCTCGATCATTATAAATAACGTAGATATAAGTACATATTATATCCACCTTATTCATTTTCTTTATCTTCTATGAAAAGAAATCATTAATAGCAGCATCAGAGAAATAGATCTGCTTCAAGAAAAGTTGAAAAACGATCGCTACTTGTACCGAGTATGAGTATGATCATGTTGCTTATCGATGTTTTATTTGTACTGTATCTATTCCCCTGCTATCCTTTCCAGTATAATTATCTCAGAATCTGCTTTCACGTAATCCAGTACAAGTTCAAGTTTTTGAAGTCAAGCTATCAGTATTTCCACAAGTGCTATTAGTCACAAAAAGAATATGTAAGAAATCAACAAACATAAATTAAAAAGAAAAAAAAAAGTGGTACAGCATTGCTCAGATTAAATCTGGAGATATTGTAATCAAGGTTCCGTACCATTGAACCATTCGCACCACCTGTAAAATTTCGAATTCCCATGTCTAGCCTGCTGTTGTCTAGTTTGCATAAGGACAATTTTGACGATGTTGGTTTGTGCTGGACTATATCTCATAATATTAACAGACGTTGTTTCGACGACACCATATCACTTAGAGATGGTGGAATGTAGTTCGTCATTATTTACTTATTGAAAACTGTGTTCAAAACGCTGATGGTGGCATATTTTGTGTTAAGGTCATACTTAATACGTGGAGATGTTATTGGTCAAAAATAAACGCTTATTTTTTTTTACTTTTCTTGTTATTCTAGAGGAACTATGCGGTGTACAACAAGTACATCTTACGTTCAAAAGAATATCTACTTGTAACTTACTCTAGAAAGAATCAATGTCTTAAAGGCTTGACAAATCTGGGCTAGCGCCTTTTGAGAACACTTCAAAGAGTTGCAGGAACGTGCCTTTGTGTTAATTCGAAAGTACGTTTTGCTGACTGAGCTCAATAGACGATAAAAATGGAAAGCAATAAACTTTTCTGAAGTAATTTGCACAAAAAGAAAGAGAATTTCGTTATTTGTTTCATATGTGTGCGAAACCATAACTTGTTCAGGACTTATTGTTAGCTTACGAAACAAATATGTTTTCCGGATCGATGGGCGAACTTTTGAGTGGCGTCAGTATTATTTGTAGGTAGAAGTCTAAAATACTGGTATGCAAGGGAAGAAAAATCAGAATATAAAGAGCGAATATAAACATAGGAGACGAAAAATTAGAAGAAGTGACCGATTTTAGGTATCTAGAAAGTCAGATAAGTCAGGACGGAAGGAGTAGTAGGGATATAAAGCAGAGGATAGCGCAGGGTCGAGTTGCCCTCAATAAAAAGAAGGCACTTCTATGCTCGCTAATTTAGAAATTTGAAAAAGGTTGTTAAAGGTATATGCTTGGAGCATGACGAAATGCGGTGTTACAAGCGAATGATGAGGATACCGTGTATAGAGAAGGTTAGAAATGAAGAGGTATTAGAAAGAATAGGAGAACAGAGGACTCTATGGAAATCAATAAGAAATAGGCGAGATAGGTTAGTGGGACACTTTCTCAGGCATGAAGGTTTAGTCAGAGACATATTAGAGGCAGAAACGGAAGTGAGAAGGGGTAGAGGTAGACTTAGATTACTGTTCGCAAATAGTTAAGGATATGGGTTGTTCTAGTTTTAGGGAAATGCGAAGATTAGCTCAGGATAGGAAAGAGTGGAGGTGCGTGTCCAACCAGTCTTAAAACTGACGACCTAATGATGATGATGCGATATGGGTACTTTCCAAAATTCCGTAAGTACTCAATACTGTCATCAGCATGACGTTTCGTTTGTACCAGAAAAAATGCCTCACAAGTTAGCATACTATTTTCCACTCATGATTGTAAACAGCGTTTTGTTTTTATTGCACCTGTAGGATGATTTCAACAGGATATTCACAGGTCTAAAAATCATTTCATGGAATCGAACGTTCAGAAAATTATT